GTGTGTGTGTGTGTGTGTGTGTGTGTGTGTGTGTGTATATATGTCTATATATATATATAGCTGTTCTCTATATTAGTAAGCACGGTTTAAAATTCCTTGATAACAGTCTTGAGTTTTCTTTTGAGAATGTACACGTCACAATATTTCACATTTCAATAAATGAGGTGACATTATTCTACTCACCTTTCAACCATCGATCATTAAAAGGAAATGTAAAGGTGTAAAAGTAAAACAAATTACTTTCAACATGCCATGAATAACCCCTTAAAGTTTGATTATTATATTAATATACAGTATGTCTATATTATGTGTAACATATGTTGCCATAATCAAAACATTAATATTAATATATTCATTAATATTAACAATCAGTGATAATATTTCAGTGATTTCTGTAATTTAACAGATAACAAATATTGTATTTACCTGCTTTAGAAACATTTCAGTAAACACTGATAATAGGGATTAGAAGTGAAAAGGGGAGACAATTACATTTGAAAACAAGCCTGGAGAGAGATGCCTTCACATGCTATCGGAATTATCTTGAATACGAGTTTCCTAGTCAGAAATTGGACATGAGCAGCCTTTTAAGTCAAATTTTCAAATGGGAAAATTTGAGATAATTTGATTTTAAACATGGCGGAGGAGAGAAACAGCTGTAGTACTGTAAAGTTTTATTAGTTTTTCCCAGAACATCTACATTGCTTTCTCCTGTCATTAGTCATGTATATTTGCGTATATAAATAACCATTTGATGCATATTGTATGTATTGAACACAACAAAGATAGTACTTATTTGACTGATATTTAGCAATCATCAGCCAGTTGAATATCTAGATAGCGCAGTGAATGTTTCTATGGTTACCAATGAATGGCACACTATCTTATTCAAAACCTGTTGAATATTGACAAAATATCTTTTTGGCTTTAATAAGTAGTAGTAGTGTGTAACAACAGCACACACATAATAGTGTGTTGTTGCCATGTCCAAGAGACACTGTTTCACAGATCTAATATACTGATACACTTGCAGCTGTTAGCATTGAAAGAGATAACTTTGTGGGGTTTTTTGCATAACATAATGTGTATTTGACACTTGATGCAAGAGTTAGCTTTCTGTGCACACGCTTGAGCTCAGAAAACCGTATATCAGAAGTTTAAACTGATAAGACTTCAAATGCATGCAAATAATACACTTTTCGTGATGATGAAGAACTGCAACATCATGTGAGTGATGTTTTGTTTGTTGTCGTAGTTACCCAGGCATGAGCTGTCAAGGTATAGCCTTTTCTGGAAAGGGGGGTGGGGAGCAGCAGCTCATTTGCATTGAAAGAAACACTGGCTTCCAGCCAAAAGGGGCATTTACAGCATGGTATAATAAATGATCTGTGGGGTATGCCGCAATAGAAGTGATAATCAAAAATGATAATAATCAAAAAACAGCCATAGAACTGCAGCTGATAGAATGCACTTTAACACAATCCTAATGATCTCTTCATGATAGCAGATTATGGACACTGTAATCATTCAGAAAAAAATATGAAAAATTGTGACTGTCCTGTTTGAATTCATAGATGTGGTGGAGCCAGAAACGGATGATGATTTCCCTGAGCCACTGGATCTCAGCCCCAGAGACGAGAGGCCTCTGTCCCCGCTCTTCCAGCGCTCCGTGTCAGAAGACTCTGCTGGCTCCTCTGCCTCCACCACCAGAAAAGCCAAAACTAGGTTGGTGTGAAACTCACACACACACACACTCTCTCTTTGTTGACTCAAAGCTGCCCGTATGTGTACATTTAAAGGTTAAGCGGCAAGTTTTTAATGTCGCCCTGAAGAGAGTGAGAGAGTTCACACAAACACAGTGTGCTGATGAACAATATTTGGACAGAAGAAATTGTACAAGGGAGGTAATAGGGTTTTAGAAAAAAAAAGAGGAAGTGTATGTCAGGTCAACAAAAGCCTCTAGTTGCCTGTTTGTTTGTATTAGTGACGTGCAGTGGTTACACTTAATGTTAGCACATTTTTTACTTATTACTTATTACTTATGCAATCAGGAAAGCAATAACAGTTTTTTTTTTATTCATAATTTAATGTTCTATTACAAACACAGTGTGCTGATGAACAATATTTGGACAGAAGAAATTGTACAAGGGAGGTAATAGGGTTTTAGAAAAAAAAAGAGGAAGTGTATGTCAGGTCAACAAAAGCCTCTAGTTTGTTGTTTGTTTGTATTAGTGACGTGCAGTGGTTACACTTAATGTTAGCACATTTTTTACTTATTACTTATGCAATCAGGAAAGCAATAACAGTTTTTTTTTTATTCATAATTTAATGTTCTATTCATTAAAGCAAATTATGTCTTATCAAGTTACATACAAGTTACAGTTCATATTTATTCCAAAATAATAACTGTAAGAATGCAGTAACATTTCTTATTGCATGTATATTTTGGTTGTAAACGGATGTTTTATGTTTTATTTTTTTTTATAGTCAACTTATTTTAGGATCATAATTCAAAGCTTGGTAAACACTGCAGGTGTCATGAAGGTCTTGGAGAAAGTGATTTGTGTATGCAAATGTGTTCCCTGCACCGTTGGGAAACACGCATACACTACCGGTCAAAAGTTGTTTCTTTGAACCAAAATTTGAGCACCAAATCAGCATATTAAAATGATTTCTGAAGGATCATGTGACACTGAAGACCGGAGTAATGGCTGGTGAATATTGCATTGCAATTGAATAGCATCTTTGCCATCACAGAAATAAATTACATTTTACATGATACAAAAAAATGTAAAACACTTAATGTAATATTATTTCTAGGACTGCCCCCTAATAGTCGACCAACCATTAGTCGACGAGAAGAGGTTTAGTCGATAAAAATGTTATTAGTCACTTTGTTGCAGAAAAAAAATTCCACAGGAAGTGGCAAAGTCACATTGTCCGTGACGGACAGATTATTAACAGCTGGTCTATGTGGTAATTACATTACATCAGACATCCAAACGTTTGTTTCGTTCATCGACCTCAAATGCGTCATGTAAGTAGTAGCATCATTACATGGCTGCTCTCTCTAACGTTAACCTAGAAAAGTGTGCACTATTTAAGTGTTTGTGCGGAGTGTGGAAGCTGAATAGTAGCATGCTCACTGCATGACAGTTAACTTGGAGGTGCCAGTGCGATCATTTACATTTAAAGGTGTCATATGATGTTGCTAAAAAGAACATTATTTTGTGTATTTGATGTAAGGAAATGTGTTTATGTAGTTTAAAGTTCAAAAAACACATTATTTTCCACATACTGTACATTATTGTTTCTCCTCTATGCCCCGCCTTTCTGAAACGCGTCGATTTTTACAAAGCTCATCGGTCTGAAAAGCGAGGTGTGCTCTGATTGGCCAGCTATCCAGTGCGTTGTGATTGGCCGAATACCTCAAACGTGTGACAGAAATGTTACGCCCCTTACCATACTGTCAGGCCGTGTAAACGAGGCATTTTTTGCATCCAGTGGGGACATAATTACGGATTATAATGACTTATACTGTCTTTTTACACATTGGTTGCATCGCGCCGCGTATTTGAATCGTCAGTGGCAAATTCTTTAAATATAAAAAACGTACTTACAGTCTGTGAGTCAGAACAGCCGGCATTGTAGTGTACTCTTCCAGGATCAGGAAACAGTCCTCCATAAAATGCGCTGCACACAAATGAATATTTGGGTTGAACTGTTCTGGAACAGTGTTGTAAATACAAATTAACCACTGATTTCTAGTCTTGTTCTCTTTTGGAAGACCAAACAAAGTAGTTTCGCTTTCACAACGAAACACACGGCGGCCTTGAGTGAGTGGAGGCCGGCGGCCTAGTGTGAGGAACGGCCGGCAGGTTAGAGTAAGTGGCGGCGGGCGGGCTTGAGAACGGCGCAGCCGGCAGATTCGACGAAGGAGCGTCCGGCGGGCTTGCGGCAACCACATGTGACGACTCCGGGCTGGACTCCGCTTCGTCCATGGTGAAAGCCGATCCGGCGATCCACAGCACTAAGTTGATGTATTCCCTCAGCGACCAGCATGGATCAGCTCCAGGCATGACGAAGCGGATATCGTCCTCTTTTGGAAGGCCAAGCAAAGTAGTTTCGCTTTCACAACGAAACACACACCGTCTCTCGACATGGCGGCAGCAACAATACTACAGCGAGAATAAAAGTTACGCCTTCTTTCTTTGCGTGAACATTTGGGCGGCGTTATGCAAATCTTCCCACATCGTGACGTAGACATGTG